TAGTGGCCGAGGCGGCGTTGCCCCCAGCAATTGAGGCCTTCGATGAGCTGGTCAACTCGGAGCTCAAGAACTGGCTGGAGTTGAGTGGAAAGTTGGGTTCCGTCATCGAGGGCCAGTCCAAGGCAGTCGAAGGTGCTTTCGCTGCCGAGCGTCAGTTCCTCTTCATCGCCAACAAGGCCAAGAAGCCCGACGACCGCACCCTGATGGAGCTTCTGAAGGACCTCCAGGCAAACATGGAGAAGACGGATGAGTTCAGACAGAGCAACCGAGAACCCTCTCTCAAGGACCCGCTCTCTATGGTTGCCGACGGTGTGGGATCTCTTGGTTGGGTTACCATTGGCCAGGGCGGAGGCATGAAGCCCCATGAGCACATCAACGAGCTGGTTGGCGGAGCTCAGATGTACGGCAATAAGGTGCTTAAGGAGTATCGCGACAAGTACGGCTTTCCCCTCAATCTTGGTTTGGCACGTAGCTGACATATGCAGACCCGAGGGTGAAGTCCATGTCAAGTGGGTTCAAGCTTACTACAAGTTGTTTAAAGCCCTCGCCGAATACGCAAAGAAGCACCACACCACCGGTGTAGCCTGGAACAGCAATGGCATCGACGCCAAGGAAGCTGCAAAGCAAATCTCTGGCGGATCCAGCATACCCGCTCCTCCAGCAGGAGGCGTCCCACCACCTCCCCCACCACCAGGCCCACCACCACCACCTGGTGCCGCGCCCCCAGCTAAGAAGGCTGCACCTGATATGAATGCTGTTTTTGGTGAGCTCAACAAGGGCTCAGACGTAACAAAGGGACTTCGCAAGGTTGACCAGAGCCAAATGACACATAAGAACCCGTCATTGCGAGCAAGCGCGCCAGTCCCTTCACGTAGCGATAGTACCGGCAGTCTGAGGAGTAAGAGCCCTGCACCACCCAAGGCAAAGAAACCGGAAAGCATGCGGACGAAGAAGCCCCCAAAGAAGGAGCTGGACGGAAACAAGTGGATAATAGTATGTTTTACCCAAGTGACGCATCGTCTGGATGCTAACATTTTGCCAGGACAATTTTGACTCGCCGAGCGAAATGATTGAAATTGATGCCGAGATCAACCACTCCATCCTCATTTCCCGTTGCAAGAACACGACTATCCGCATCAACGGCAAGGCCAATGCCCTCTCCCTCGACAACTCGTCACGCACATCTCTCATCATCGACTCCATGGTCAGCTCAGTCGATGTGATCAAGTGCCCCAACTTTGCCCTCCAAGTCATTGGGACCCTGCCTACTATTCTGCTCGACCAGGTCGACGGCGCCACCATATACCTCTCCAAGGACTCATTAGCAACTGAGGTTTTTACCAGCAAGTGCAGCAGCGTCAACATCAACCTGCCAACCGAAGATGACTATGTAGAAAACCCGCTACCAGAACAGATCCGGAGCTATGTTCAGGATGGCAAGCTTGTCAGTGAGATTGTCGAGCATGCGGGTTAGGGAGCCGGCTAGACATTGAGCTGTATTGGACAAGATTTGGATATAGGTCTTGGTGATTTAGTGTGAACTGGACACGTTGGGTGGTGGGGGTTTTCTCTTTGGGGGAAAATTACGCCCTCGTGTTGCTGTAGCATACAAAACTCATTCATAGAACCTATCCTCATGCTGCCATGATGTGTGTGTATGATCTGTTCCGGGTCTAGTGTCTTGCCTGTGATACCAATTTGATTGCTTTGTCCTCGACACATAATAGAGTAAAAAGGGCTTCATTCATTGCTGTCTATAACGGAAAAGAATTGCTGCAACTATTCTCAATCTACGGACTAAGCTCAAAAGAAGAACTATGATAAAAGAGTCGTAAGAAAGTAAAGATGAAAAAAAAACAGCCGAAATGACAAAGGAAGCAAGGTGGGTATCAAATGTCCGACTGATATATTGACCATGTAATCGTGAAAGAGAAATGAAAAAAGGTGGTGAAGAAGAAGAAGAAGAAAAAAAAGATATATACGCGTGGTAAGTCGCAAGAAAGCTCAAAAGAAGACGCTTGATACTTTGAAGCCGAAAAAAAAGAATCCCGTGCGTGCTCGAGAAGGAAAAAACAAAGGTCGTCGCAAAAGATTCATTTCCAAGTGCTCAAGTTTATTCGCCGTTGGCACATAAAAGACACTTCCATTCCATTCCTCTTCCTCGTTCCCTCGTCACGCCAAAGTCGACAGTTTTTGGCTGCCCCCCCAAAAAAAGGGAAGAAGGAAGACCTGTCGTGTTTCAACTGCAACCTCCACCCACCTCGGAACGTTTGTCACCCGAGAAGAAAACAAAACGTTTTAGGAACCCGTCCGCCTCACCGTCCCTCAAAGAAAAAACCGTTAAAGTTTTGGGGGACAGAAAATTAGTCGATACACGTTTCCGCCGAGTATCATCTTGGCGGTATACATGTTTGAACAATCTCCGTTCTTCTTTCTCTGGGGATAGTATCTGATTGAAAATGTCATTTTCTTTACCATCCCCCAGCAGGTTCAATGCGACGCGTCTGGGTTTGGAAGTAGCCGTCAAAGACGCTGAGTTCGGGCTTGCGGGGCGCAGGTGCAACAGGTGCAGAAACCGTATTCTCCGAGATGTCGACGAGGGTGGCGGTTGAGGTGCCGTTGTTGAGACCGAGGGAGGCAGCGGTTTGGCCGCTGAAGCCGCCGCCGTCTAAGCTTCGGCGTCGGCCGCCTGTGACTTTGCCGCTGTTTAGACTGGCAAGGACGTAGCTCATTTTGATTCGCTCTTTTGGTCGGGGCAGGATCATCTTCTCGATGATGCTGAGCCACTCCGCTTCTGCTTTAAGTTGCCTCTGCTTTCTACCAGATCCAATGAGTCCTGTTCGGAGACTCGAAGTAGTGGTTGCGTGTAAACGGTTCCTCCAGCTTGCTACTCGGTCAAGGTGTGCGTGGAAAGACGTGTCTTGCGTTGAAGCTGCTCTGTGCTGTGCGAAACCCGACAGTGATTGACCGTGCGCTACGGTCATCATCGACAGAAACACGCATCCAAGTGAGAAGACGTCTGCCATCCTCTTTCCACGCGAGTGTGTGTGGATGGCTTCTGGTGCGGCATAAACATACGACTGGTCCTGCATGATTGTGTTCAGCTGGTCAATTCGTAGTGTCTCGGCCATTGTTGGACTGAACGCGTCAACGCTCTGACCAATGTCGAAAGGCGCAAAAAAGACACGCGCTCCATCAATCAAGATTTTGCGTGGTCGAATGTTGCGATGGCAGATGGACTGTGAATGCAGATATTCAAGTGCAGACGATAAATCCTGCATCCAGTCCACAAGCAACTTGGAACGGCCCGGGTCGCTGCCAGGCAGCGCTAAGAAGTCGTCCAGACTGTACTGTGCCTTTTCCGTCAAGATACCCACATGGTTTGGCTGGGCATAGGAACAAAGCAGCTTGGCAATGTTCTTGTGTTCAAACTGTCTGAAACGGAGGATCTGCTCCAGTAGTGCGACTTTCTGAGCTGGACGAGCGGTGACAAACCGCTTTCGAACCAAAACACGGTCGTCGTTGCCGAGCATCCGAATACGGTCCACACTCTTTTCAGAGTTGCGCGATGATCGGAGAAGACTCAGGTGCTGCAGCGGAAGCGTTTCCCTGGTAGTGAAGTCCACGTGACCTCCATTCAATGGTAGTTCCTTGGACGTAGCGCGCCATTGCTCCTCGACAACTTTGTGTGCGTTTGCTACGATACCTTGGAGGCGTTCCTCGGGGAATGGCAAGCTTTCATCTCTCAGGTCGAAGAAGGAAGCCTGTCGCCACGATGCCACGTCGTCGCATACATACAAAAGTATCGCAAGCCTGGGGTTTGACAGGGTCCACTGCCAAATCTTCTTTACCAGGCCGGCATCCCAGCCTTGCTTTCGGACAAGCTCGTAAAACCATCCAGACAATGACTGGCCCTGAGATGACAGGATAGATGTATTGATAAACCCATTTACCAAGGGCACTAGCGGGGGAGGTGGAGGGAGAGGTTGGCGATATGGATTAGGCGAGCCGGGGTAATCGCCGTTTCTGAACGATTCTCCGTTTGCCGATGGAGGCGGAGACAATGGTGCAAATCCAGCTACCGCATTTATGATTCGTATTGGTTGGGGGGCGAGAGGCGTTGTGGAACGACTGTACTGGGGAGTGCGGTCTGGGCTGCTTTTGGGCGACGAGGAATCTGTAGATTTATTCGAGTATGTAGAAGCCGGGCTGGTCATCACATTGGACCATGGGTTGTTGTTCATTTTTGTGGGCGTGGTGCTCCGACTAGTGCAAGATGAAACAGACGATGTCGCTGGAGACGAAGCATCGCGACTGTTGTACCATGACTGGTCATTTTGGAGGTTGACCATGGATATGGTATGCTGCAGACCATGCTGAGGCTTGGGGTACTCCATCGCAGGCGTGCGCCATGGAGAGTTTGAAGCGTGCTGCATGGCTGCAGTGTTTGGATATGACGGAGTTGGGCAAGTGACGGGGGGAGCCAAGTGGTGGGCTATAGCAGAGTGGGCGGATGTGGATATAGCCGGGGGGTTAACAGCGAGGGTCAAGTCAAGCGTGTCGAGACTGCAAAAGAATGCAGAATCAAAAGCAAATAGCAAGAAGCAGCACGAGAGAGTGAGGAATGCGAGAGGCTGGACTGAAGAGAAGTTCGGGACCAGGAGCCCTTGTCCACGGAAGAAGTACAGCGGCAGCCTTCGGGCAGCGTCAGTCTGGTCGGACGCGGACAGGGCACAGTAAGGCTGCCCTCAGCGTCGGGCTAGAGGCTTTTGATGTGCTGGCAGACAAGCAGCGCGTGTTTCCTAACGTATTAGTGGAGGGCGACAATATATGGCCTTCTTCGGTGGGTGTATGTGTTGGGCGACTGCAGGCTGGGCACGAGCGCAACCCATGAGGGTTAGCAGTATGCAGGCGAACGTGGCCGCCTCAGAGTCGCCTTCGAGGACAAAGGCATTGGATATGCATATGTTCGCGCGCAGGCGTTGCCGTATGGTGCCAGATCACCCGGCATCTTGACATGTAAGTAGATGGATGCATGCGATCCGTTCCGAAGCCAGCAGAGGCTGCCGGCCGCGTGCCTGGGTGCTGGCCATGACGATTGCGGGCACAATTTGTGTAGGAGCTTGTGCACGACACAGACACAGATGGACGGCAGACGGGACGCAAGGGCAGTGCCGTCGCTGTGGGGATTTAAGCCGACACGTTGCTGGTGTGGTGGATGTGTGTGGCGCGTAAGAATGGGTGCAGACGACACAAGCTTCCGAGTCACGCGGCTCACCGGTACTTCTGGGCGGTGGCCGGCAGGGAAGAACGTATCTCCGTGTGTGGCTTCGGCATGACGTCCCTCGACATCTCACCCTGCATCCGTGGCTGGTGGCAGGTGGCTGGTAGTGGAGACGGACCGTTGGTGGTGAGTGAGCGTATACTATACACTACACTACACACTCGCACTCTCATACATACGCCCTGGCGATACGCCTGCGAGAGCCACTGACGGCCCACATTGACAGCGGGCGTTCCCCCCCGTGTCAAGTTTGGGCTCGTACAAGCTTCGAGATGACGGCCAGGGGGGGGGGTGCACAAAGCCCTGCTGAGGCTCAAAAGATGCCTGAGGTCGGCTCAGGACCCTCTTCAGCGGCCCCCGGCTGAAACCACAGGCCCGGGAGAGGTGGCACGGCGGACGCTCATTGGTGCGGAGAGCGGAGTCACGTGAGCTCCTAGCGCAGTTCTGAAGCGCCCCTAGTTTGAGCACCGTTGCCCAGCTCCAGACCTCAACACCAATTGTCTCAAGGAGTCCAGTATCATCATGCTGCCTATATTCCCATCCGCAAACTGCTCGACCTCCGAGCTCAAGCCCTGCTGGCTGGCCCCAGATCGGGCCCCATAATGCTAATTCCGGCTCATTCCCTATTGCCGTCACTTCCTCGCATGGAAATCTTGGTGCCACCCGTCACAGCTTCAAGCACATGTCGTCTCAACTCCCTTATGCGAGCTTCAGCAGGGCTCGGTGTTGCTTTGCGAGTCTGGCGCCCGAGCTAGTCACGCCATTACTAACACCACGTCCACCCGATCCACACGCGCATGCGTTTTCCGCACCGCGTTTCTTCATGCTGTGACTGCCGCTTCGCCCTTCCCTTCTTCTAATCTGATTGCTAATGACACTACCGATGCCCGTTTCCTTTGCTCGGTGAGAAACTTTTGCGCCCTCATTCTTCTCTTCACTTCCACTCTTTTTTTTTCAGCACCAACGCTGCTGGGCAGCCAGCCATATTAACACTACCGACTTTAATACTCACCGTCGACTAATACATCTCCATTATGTTCTTCACACGCGCCCTGGTTGGCACTTTGCTTGCTGCTGGACACGCAACTGCTTTCAAGGGTCGTCAGGTGAACGCTCTTCTTCAGCCGGGTCTGGATATGGAGGAGGTACTTCGACGGGACGCAGGGCGCATGGCCACCCTTACTCGACGACAAGACGCAAACCCTGCCGACACTGCACCACTCGCCTCATTAACACCGTCGACTGGTGATGCATCGAATGTGAACTTGGCTCAATGGGAGGAGCAGACAAGGACGGCATGCATGAGGACCCTAAGCAACCTCAACGGCCAAGCATCAAACCCAAGTGGAATCGCCGTCTGCTACAACCTACCCTTCCTCGACAACACGACTGGTGTCTTCCAGGCCGAACTCCGAATGTACAATGTCTCGGCTCCTATTGATCCATGGGTTGGCGTCACTGCCGCCGATGTGAGCATGACTCTATCCTACCTTGGCGCAACCGTACAGAACATGCAAGGCAACTTTGCGAAGCGAGAGGTTGTCGCGTCAATCAGTGAAGGCAAGCTGGTTGAGAGGCAGGACATCAACGGCATGACACAGTTGAAGGTTCTTATGTATGTTGGAAGGATCAACGAGAACCTCATGGGCTCAGCCATGACCCAGTAAGTGACAACGCTTTGTTGTCGTGATACGTCTTCTAACCATATCACAGAGAATCGCTACAGCCTCTTCTCGTTCCCCAGATTGATCTCGCCGCCAAGAACCCTGTTACTGGTCGGGATGTCGAGACTACGCTTTCATCTCAAGAAGCGTCATTCGTCAACGGTATCTTTTCTCGCGCCGGCACCGCCCCTACCAACGCCGATCCTCAAGCGGCCGCATCAGCATCTGCTGCCGTCGCCTCTGCTGCGCCATTTGTCGTCCCCGGAACCGCCTTGGCCTTCTTCCCCATCGGCCTCGTCGTCACTTCAGTCTGGGCCTTCTTCTTTTTCCTTGCCGTCGGCTTCGGAACATACGGCCGTATCCAATACCGCGATCAATACAGGAGGCGTGTAAGAGCTGAGTTGGCTCGTGGTGTCCGTACCATTTAATCCAACCTACTCATCTCTCTCTTCCCTCCACAAACTCCCTCAACCTTTTCCTAAATTGAAAATTTCGTTATATTTTTTCATGTTTAAACTCCAAAGTTCTTATCCCCTAGGAATAAAAAAAAGAGGTTTAAACTACTATGAAGATTACGTTCGCTTGGATACCCCTTCCACTTTATACATATTTGTACATAATTTTGGTTAGGGCGTGTGTGTGTGTGGTGTAGCGGGCCGTTTATCTCTCTCATCCCTACTAATCACTCCTATTCCTCCTACACCTCCCCCCTCCACTTTTCCTTTCTCGATATCTCCCTATCCTGGCGATGAGAGTTTCTTCCCCCTTCCCCCACTGTTAGCAGCGCAGAACACAAGTTCGAGAAAGAAAAAAGAAAACATTATATAAGAAAGAGAGAGATATTTCCAAAACATTTCAAACAATTCAATGTATTTGATCAATTCGTCGCCCCTTTTGCTCACTTGATGTTTTTCCTTGTGTAACTTCAAGTCCACTGGTCTGCCAAAGCAGGGGTCTACACTGCGAGCCCTTGGCCGGTGCTTCCGCAGTACACACCCAAGCAGCAGATTACGCGCTCGTGCGCCCTTTTTGTCTCTTTGTGGAGATTGCAAGGGGTGTGTCGGGAATCTGATCGACCTATACCATGTCTCCCTCCGCTCATCTTACTCGGACACTGGAGTAACCGTAGGGCTAATTACAACGACTTTGATACGTCTCTCGCAGCCGCTGACTACTACACTTCATATCCTCGAAGATATCTCTTCCCCCGCACTACCTTTGTACTACGATGCGCACGAGTCGACCGTACAGCGGGGTAAGTCCATAATAGTAGTGGTAGGGAAAGAAAAAGGTGAATGCAGATGTCACACAGACGAACCAGAAGCGTCATGCGCACACGCTATCTCTCCGTTTGCGCACCCTCGGCGTGAACAAACGGGCTTCACTTACTCGATGGGCTCTACCTAGCGCAATGAGCGGCATCGGGCTCACGTGTGTGTGTGTGTGTGTAAACGGACGGCGTCGTCACTTCTCACCGCTGCGTCTACCTCTGACATAAAACTCTATTACTTTGTCGCTCAATCTGGTAACTGAGTACCTTGCATACATTCGAATATCCTTCTTCATACATACTACGACTTCACCTTTGCGAATTATGCTTCTAACAGGCTTGATCGCGCTACTCCTTGCGACCATCGTTGCTGCGACTGCGATCGAGCAGCGCGGTACTACCAACTGCGATGTTTGCATTCAGCTCTTCAACTTTTGTGTCGAGGTGAGATAGTGATGTCCCCGTCCCCCATCCTCTCGTCGAGAAGAGAGAAAGAAAAAGAAGAAAGGCTAACGACACATTGGGAGATAGAACGGACATACACCGGGTCAGGAGGGTTGCAAGAAGACGTGTGCGCAGCATGTGTGTCATTTGTTTCGGCACGAGGGGAATGAGGTATGTTTCTGTTCTCTTGTCTCGCTATGGAGGGTGTTGCTGACATGTGATGGGTAGTGCAAGGACTGCGGGGAGATGTTCAGTGCTTGTGCTGGGAAGCCTCGGTATTGAGTCTAGAGGACTTGTAGGAAAAGGATTGGGTTGAGGCCTATTGGAGTATGATGGGGATCATGGAATAGAATCCTGGATGGATGGGAAGATGTAAGGGGATAAGGTAGTAAGGAAGAGGCATTTGGTGGTACACCATGACTCAACATCACGACTTAGTCTTCGGCTATGAAAATACTGTTTGGCGGGGGATTCACACCATACAGCACTACAAATTGCCCTTGATTTCTACCCACTCCCCCTTCTCAACCCTCTCACACATCTCCTTGAGCGTCTTGGCTGCCCACTCAAAGTCCTGCATCTCGAGGTACACCTGCGCGCTCAGTCGTGACCACCAAGATCCCGCATACCAGTACACCATGATGAATGTGTCGTACTCTTCGCTACTCAGCTTCTTCATCCAATCCCTCACCTTGATACCCACGTCATCCTTGTCGATACCACTATTCGCCGCGGTATGGAATACTTTGTCCAGCGAGATAGGTAGCCGGACGTTGGACAAGCAGCACTGGCCCATGGTACCCGTGCTGTTCTCGAGCACTTCCGTTCCAAGAACAGACGCTACGTGCTTTCCAGCCGCCTGCGCAAGTGTATGACAGTATTTGCGGATCATAGCCTCGCCGCCGATGGTTTCTCGCCATTCCAACGCCTTGGGGATGCACAGGTATGGACTCGAATCAATGGTCCCTACGTACTCGAAGTTTGCAATGAAGGCCGGCTTTTCAAGTTTCACAGATGCGGATTGCTCAGATGTGTTTTGCTCTGCGCCTGGCTTGGTAAACGAGGGTTTGGGGAACGGCGAGACGAATTGTGCGCCCTTAGGCAAGAAGCCGTGAGAAGTGGGCAGAGTGCTGCGGATCATGGCTTGGTTCCTGTGTGCGACGTGGAAGATTGCGCAGCCACGGGGGACATGAAGCCATCTTGTTTCTCACATCAGCCTATGCGTGAGAGCGGGACATGAAGAACTCACTTGTGGCAGTTGCTCACGAAAAAATCAGGATCCAGGGCACCCAGATCAATCTCAACATGTCCGACACCGTGCGCTCCATCGATGCAACTCAATACACCCAGCTCTTTACTCTTGGCTGTTAAGCGTTCGAATGGTAGACGCACACCAGGCATGCTGACTACAGTATCGAAGATTGCTATCTTGACTTTTCCACCCTTAGCTTCAACCTCTTTAACTTTCTTTTCGTATTCCGCAACGAGCCAGTCGTCCTCGACGGGAAAGGTGTACTCCACCTTGACAGACTGGGCGGGCGTATTCTCAGTGATGTAAGCCACTGTCTTCTCACAAGCCCCGTAAATGGTACTGAACATGAGAATGTGGTCGCCTGGGGTAAAAGTCAAATTACGCAAAACGGTGTTTACACCTGTCGTAGCGTTGGGAACAAAGACTAGAGTGGAAGAGGGTGTGTTGAGAAGCTTGCCCATGGCTTCTCGTGCTTCATCTAGATACCGAGGATAGTCGTAGACGATGAATTGGTCGGGTCGGGCCTCAGAAGCATCTTGGAAGGCGCGGAACCTGTCCTGTACAGTACGCGGGTATGTGCCAAAGGAGCCTGAGATTTGTTAAAGGGATGTCGCGATCGATGGAGCTTTAACATGAGATGGCTTGATATACCATGATTCAAGTTCAGGAATCCTCTGTCGAAGAGAAACGCCTCGTCTCGGAGCTCCTTTCCAAACCAAAGGCCATCCTTCGTCTTAGTGTCGGGAACACCGTACTTTGCGTTTGACGTCATGATAGGGAGAAGTCTTTGTAGCAAAGGATACTACTTGTGATATTGGAAGACCTTCCGGGCCTCAACTATATATCCAAATGACGGTGAGTCAATCATATGATGACTGGTCAATTTGCGAGCATGCTTTGATGCAACCTGCATTCTGGGCGTTGTAGCACGCCCTTTGGTGTCATACTAACAACAGTTATTGACCAATCGGCGCTCATGGCGGCTACTACCGGACTTTTGCTCCACAGATAACTGAGCTTGGATGATAATCCTGCTGACATTCTGTTGAAGGAGGGTATATTGGTCATGGAGTTTGAATGTAGCGGTAACTATGGGACATCGTATTTTATATAGTATTCGATTGCGTCAGATAGCTTGTTTGTTAGGAGATCGTGCTTGTGTCGGTGGGGGAAGGTATAGCCGGCACCCCGTACCATAGATTCGTGCATTGTCATTGGCTCATCAATACGTGCTTGCTTGTAATCCCAATACCACGACATTCTTCTAGGTTAACAATCATCCTCTCAAACCAATTGTTCACAACACAAAGGGTTAATACTACAGCATGTTGTAAACAAAATCTCTCCGTGAGACAAATCACATAATGGATATACTATTTGATCTCTCAAAGAATAGATTCATAGTAGGACTGGCTATCAATGTTGATGGATGATTTTGATGGACAATTTTTTATTGCCAGTTTTATCGAATGGACGGCATATGCATACATGAATGCTTCTGTTCCGATTGTGGGATGGATAATCCAAGCTGGTCTCGTCAGACAATCAATCGATATGGCAAAGCAGGCTATGCATTTGAGGCTCAGACCTTGGACATGAGCTGGGATCTAGCAGTAAAAGGCGGCCTTTCAACATAATCTTGAACTAACAAGTCAGCTCTAGCAAAACCCAGCTTTGTGCTTCTACTTGATAAACGCCGCTTTGTCCGCTGAAGTACGTTCTGGCTTCATCTTGACATCTGGTGGGCTGGCTGTGGAACGCAAGACTACTGCAGTTGTCCCATTCGGGAAGGGAAGTTGGTGGCCTGTTTTACAGTAACTCCCATAGAGGTAGCTGGTCGATGTCTAGCGCGGCCTTTGAACCGTGAATGCCCATGCTGTGACGATGTCAATGTGATAGCTTGGCATTTTGTCGTCCTCGGATGCTGACTTTCTATGATATGCATCTTTTCAGCTCGTACGGTAGTTCATTCCTATCGGCCTCCGTATGCGTGCTATCGCGATGAGCCAAGTTTGTAATGAAATAGAATGCATTCCTCGTATTCAAGCACCTTCTGCTATCCGGCAAAGGCTGTCATGACTAGGAGGAATGCGGGTATTTATAATGCCCAAACGCCGTACCCATGATTAATCTACCCATCTACCTCTTCCTCGTTCGCTTTGGCGCCGGCTTGGGCTTCGCGCGATTGGTTCTCCGCGTGGTCGGCGCGCTATCTTCTTCGGACTCGACGCTGGATTCTTCTTCGTCCTCATCCTCGTCTTCTTCCTCAGCAGACTCGGAGACGGTGCTCCTCGGTTTGGTGTTCCTTGCCGAGTTAGCTGCAGACCTGGAGCTCTTTGCGCTCTTTGCAGCCCTGGCCGGCCGTGTGCCTTTGGTATTCTTTGGTGTGGACGTTGCTTCCGTCACGCTCTCCGCCTTTTGTGAGCGCACGCCATCGGGCAGGTCTTTGAGCAGGCCGATTCCTGGCGCATAAATGTCCTTGTACTCGTCTGTCGGAACCATGGGCGGCGATGAAGCTACGACCGAATCTGGGCTATGGAAGCGCTTCCGCCACATCATCTCACCAAATTCCTCTTCGGGTAGTTCGAATTCGGGCAGGTTGGCAGCGTCGTCGGGGTCTAGCGGGTCTGGCTCGTCGGAAAAGGCAAATTCGTTCTCGCGTGTGTCGAGGGCATCCAGGTCGTACCACTGCGATAACTTCTTCCAGATGCCGGGGATGCGCGTGTGGGGTGCATCCTCTCCCGCGAAGCCATGCGAGCGCATATCGGTGTGAATACTAATCATACGGAAATGCTTGTGCAGGCCGGTGGGCTTCCACTTCATCATGCTCTTGAGGAGCTGCGTCTCCTGCTCGTCGGCCCATGGGTCGCTGAGAATCTCATCTTGCGCCTGCGCAGCGCCCGAGTCCTGGGGCGTCTTTGGCTGGGTGTCACCCAGCGGGGTCGAGGCTGCGCTGGCCTTTGCCTTTTTCCGAGGAGGCATTTCCCGCGAGTGAATAGCGATGACGGTGTGATTGTGGAAGGGTGAGCGGGAATGCGTGAGAAAATGGATACGCGACGCGAAGCTGCAGGTGCGTAGGGCTGAGCGCCCCCCAGTCCAGACAGGAACAGCGTCATACCCCTCCTACCCGACTACTCGACTGTGCCGCCGCCATGGAAGCGGGCGATTCGATTCACAATGTGTTCAGTAGCGATCGCCTGTGGGAGCAATCTTCCTTTTTTGACGTTAAAGAAGAGTCATCGCTCTTCACCCCGCTGCAGCTAGACAGTGAGCCGTCGCGTCCCTAAACCCTCCATGGAGACGCGTCTTGCTGACCTGCCCTAGTCGCTGCCATCCGTTTCGACCATCCATATGCACCCAAACATGACCTTGAACATGAGTTGCGGCTGCCAGACCTTGACACATTCGAATTTGGCCCTTTGCCGGACCTGGAGAGTTTGGATGAGTCCAGTATCGTCATTGACACGCCGCCCCTCGAGCCCGACGAAGATGTATGGCAGATAGCGCTTGAGCAAGGGCCCGCCAACAAAGATGTCTTGTTCTACACATGGGAGTCTTTTGAGAAGAGGCAGAACATCGAAACTCCGTCACCATACCTTACCGAACATGGCCCCGAGGCGTTTGATGCCACACTAGTACGCGATGGCGAGAATCAAAGTTCTGGGAAGATACTCAAAGCCGACGTTCTCCTACAGTCGCTCTGGAACCTGGGACTGGGCCGCTCATCTATCCTCTTTCGCTTCAACCCCAAGTCGAAATCCTTTGAGCCTACCGTCCTCCAGGGGCGAGCGTCTGGACTGAGTCTGCAGGTTGCCCAGAGCTTCATTGCCTATTTCACCCATACCGGCAACACGTTTCTGTATTTGCGATCATTTGCCGAGCGTACTTTCGCTTCTGCTGCATCCATACCCGCGAAGGTTGCCCTGGCTACGTCTGTGTCAAGCATTCTCGCCAGTCTGGAACATGCCCTGGGAAAACAGTCTTCCAAGATTCGGTCTTTGATTCAGTTACAGCGCCAATTTTCGAAGCCTCGAAGCATTCTAATACATGTTGCGCGCATGGTTGATGCTGTGAAGCACGCAAAGACTAACGAGCAACTCTCTTCCATTCTGCATCACCGTCTTTTGGAAATCGAAGAGGGAGACGATCAGCTCCGCCAGTTGTCATGCCAGTTGCTCTGTCAAGTGGCTAGACCGAGCTTGGAGCTGCTTGGAGAATGGATGGGCATACGAAAAGAGCAGGCAGCCTTGCCCATCTGGCAACGTGACAGCTTCGTGACGGTAGAAGAGACTGCTGGTGATACATCAGCGGTTGAGTATGTATACAGATCTGAAATGATGCCGAGATTCATATCTCCAGAAGATGGAAATATGATATTCGAGACTGGAAACAGTCTTCGCTTCCTAAAGACACAGCATCCGCATCACCCACTTGCTCGCTTAGACGGATTGGCTGTTCAGCCCCCAGATATGGAGTGGGCTTTTCAGTGGCAGCAAGTAGAGAAATTAGCAGAGAAAGCAAAAGCCTATGAGGAGAGGCTGAGGCAAGCACTGTTGGCCTTTGGTGCGGGCCACGCCGACGCTGTAGAAAACCTTCCTGCGCCATCTACACCAGCGCCAGCTGCAGAGCTTTCAGTTGACACACAGAATCTTGATCGTTACTTTGAAGAATCCATTCAAACGATGGATGCCGCTCCCAAGGTGTCTTCAGAGGCTTTGCCTGATGAGTTGCAGCTTCTCATGGAAAGCATTCTCGACGCGACTCGCGAGAAAGACGAGGCAAACTCGAGCACATTCTCACCGCCAATGTCTCTAGCATCCACCTTGTCTTTTCGCCCACTAATCAGGGCACAAGCAAAGCTGGTGAACGCAGCCACAGTTCGTTTGTTCTTCCGTTCCCATCAACTGCGCCTGCATTTGTCCTTGCAGCGGCAGTACCACTTACTTGGTGACGGTGTCTTTTCTTCACTGTTAGCAACGGCTCTCTTTGACCCAAATCGCGAAAGCGCTGAGCGACACAAAGGAAGAATGCGTAGTGGAGTGCAAATGGGCTTGCAGCTGGGCTCCCGCAAGTCATGGCCACCGGCGAGTTCAGAACTGCGATTGGCATTGAGAGGGGTACTGAGTGAAAGTTACTACTCTTCTGCACTCTTTCAATCCACACAAAAAGACGGCCAGATATCCGCACCCAAAACACACTTGCACAACAGAGACAACGACGAACTTCCGGGGCAGCTCAACTTTGCCATTCGTAATCTCACCGAGGCAGAGCAAGAAAAGGTCATGGATCCAGACGCCCTACCTGCACTGGACTTTCTACGACTGCAATACGTGGCGCCGCCTCCACTGAACCTTGTGATCACGACCACCGCACTGGACAAGTACGACTACATATTCAAGTTCTTACTGCGGCTATTGCGCATGCTCTTTGTAGTCTCCCATCTGCCACGCGAGTACCCTGATCGCGACTCTCGATACTTGAGGATGGAAGCATACCACTTCGTGATTGCACTGACCAACTACGTTTTCCAGACTGGGATTGCCGAGCCCTGGAATGAGTACGAATGCTTCGTCTCCAAAGTCGAAGCTCGTCTCAACCAGGAAGATATAGCTGGCGAGCTAGGTGTGCGCGTTACAGAAGGCGTTGCCTCGTTGCGTGATGCCCACGAAAAGTGCCTTGACAGTATTCTCTTTGCACTGTTGCTTCGCAAGCGCCAGCGCAAGATCATGGCGCTTGTCGAAGAAATATTCGAGCACATCCTTCTCTTTTCCAAGATGCAAAATTCAAAGACACATGGAAGCGAAGAAAGTGTCAAGAGTCTTTATGCCAAGTTGAGGGGTAAGATACGAGTGTTTTTCAGTGTGTGTCGAGGCTTGACAGGCAAGCAAAGCTATGGCAAGGGGAGAGGCACGGCAGAGGAAAACTCCATGGAGCGGCTCGTCATTGCTATGGAGATGAATGGTTACTTTGCTGCATCGTGAGGTACTAGATAGTTCGGCCTGACGGGTAAACGCCTCGCTTTGGTTTCCACCCGAGTCAATATAGTGATGCTTTGGTGCGGTTCGGCCCGTTGCTAGCCACAATGTGCGATGTTCGTCCCCGCCCATAAGATGCAAATATAGCACTATATCAAGACACTACTGCCTACGAGTTCTTCTATTGCAAGACAGTGACGGGTAATGAAAGCGGCGGCTTTGACACATGCATACGATGATCTACGGTATCGGCACGGGACCACGTGGCGCGTTCCGCGTGCATCAAAGCGGAGCCGTCAACACCCGTATACCAAGACTTGATCTCGTATCGTGGATGATCTACGCACATGACTTGAAAGTACAGTCCAGTACGGCAATATGACTAGAGGAACTAAGATGTGTGGGGTACACACAGTGAGTCATTCATTGGTATCCAAGTCTTCTTTCTTTCTCACCTCCCCAAGAGATAAACAATGCATAACAAGAAATTCGGCTTGCAGTAGAGATTCTGGGCTGAAAGTGGTTTGTACAAGTACCCCGCTCATTGTGTATATTGGATCATCTGAGCTAGCTCGAGTGATATGTTGTACATACAGTGTGTGGTACTCTTGGTGGACCAAAATACCCGGATAAACACTACCTTCACTGAAATCGCGCAACATTGATCAAATATAGCTACATGCCAGTATTATAGACCTGCGCAGTCTCTAATTGAAAGAGATTGATATTCATGTCAAACTCTGGCACTTTGGTACATACAACTATTATATTTAAATGCGTGGTAGTGAAGGCGGCTGATTACAAACAGCGGCTCTGCTCTGATCAGGGCTATCTTCATTTCAGTATTGTAGTTCTCCAAAAGGGATTGAGTAAGCAGGATTTGCTCCCTTATCCCGTATGAATCTCTGAAAGTTATGATAGTAGCACTGAATGAACTATCCTTATCATTGACAGAGTATTCCTTAGTGAGCATGTACCGTGACACTGTTTGTTGTAGGCTTTTGATGAAGGTACGCAACGAAAGCTATATAACACTTGATAATGATTATGACTATTCACAATATTTCTTAGCATGAAAAAACTCTAATAGATAAGGATCAAAAACAATAGAAAAGAAAAGGGCAGATTTCTTGGTTAGAAAGAGGGGTTTTTGGGGGCGCTTCTAAGATCCGAGGCTGGACTTTTGACTAGTACCGTATAAGAACAGGCCATATTGGCATCGTATTCAATCACGGACTTCCCACCATACGCAGTATCAGATATTCCGTACTCACCATGGGATCTCATTTTCCGTCATTCTTGAAGGTGTTCTTGCTATCTGCTCTTGTTACGCATATCACTCCTGTTTTTGCTGATGAAGCACCTACTGTAACCATTGCTTCGGGCGTTATCATCGGCACTACCACCAAGCCTGCCAACCAACCCGATTTACCAGCTTCAGCAAATGCCTACCTAGGCGTTCCCTTTCCTAAGTCACCCCCACAACGCTTTTCTCCACCAGAAGCAGTACAACCATGGTCATCCCCTTTGCAAGCAAAAGCCCTCAAACCGGCGTGTATACAACAGTTCTCGGGCAAGAACCGAGACAAGACTATGGAGTTTTTCAACAACCCACTACACCATCCTCCCGGGGAGAGTGAAGACTGTTTGTATCTCAATGTCTACACGCCTGCTGGGGTGAATGCAACCAGTAAGAAGGCAGTGATGTTTTGGATCTTCGGGGTATGGCTTTTCTTGATTGCAAACTGGATACGGAAAGCTGTGTTAATAGAATACAGGGTAATTTAGCTTTTGGAACTGGAGGACTGAATTACTACGACGGTACCTCTCTTGCTATAAACGAGGACGTAGTCGTTGTCACAATCAACTACCGTACAAACAGTGAGTCGTTAGAAATGAGACTTGTAGTGCAGTAACTAACAAATCGGGTACTTAGTCTTTGGTTTCTCAAACTCTCCAGAGATACCCTTTGGTTCTCAGAACTCTGGATTCTTGGACCAGAGATTCGCACTCCAATGGGTTCAGGACAACATTGTAAACTTCGGGGGCGATCCCAAGCGCGTAATGCTTTTTGGTGAATCAGCCGGCGGCGAATCAATCAAGCAGCTTCTCGCCAACCCCCCAAATCCCCTTCCCTTCTCATCCGCAATCCTCCAATCACAACAAGCACTTTCCCAGGGAAACGGACTTACCAACTACAAAAAAGTTCTCTCGCATTTCAGCTGCACAGACATCACCTGTCTGCGCGCCGTTCCCGCTACAGAAATAAAATCCTACATCGAATCCGAATCGCTGAGCTTCGCACCCGTCAATGGCGATGGAACATCCGTCGACGACGTTCGACCGAGTATCCGCTCGAAGAAATGGGCTCGAGTCCCCACAATGTTCGGTACGAACCTCAACGAAGCCCGCATCTTCCTTGCCGTATTAGGCTCAAACGACGCCACAACCGCCTTCAATAGCATTGTCGAACAGGTGAACACATCGTCAATCGACGCCCCCGATGCACACACCGCTGTAACAGATGCCTACGCTGAACAAGGCATCACTGTATTCGACAAGTTACTAGACCGAGTCCTCACCGACGCAATCTTTACATGCACCACATCCCGCTTGTCGACTTTCCTTGACAAAAACTCGTACACTACGTATCGCTATCTGTACAGCGGCGTATTTCCCTCAGTGAGTATCTTCAATGATGCCGGTGCTTATCACACCAGCGAGATCCCGCAAGTGTTTGGTACGTGGGAGCGCTCAAACCGGTTTGGAAATGCGACGGAGCAGCAGATTAAGCTGAGCAGCTTCATGCAGAAGACGTGGGCGGATTTTGCGAAAGATCCGGAGAAGGGGGTGGGGTGGGCGAAGGTGGGGAGTACGCTGTTGGGTAGGGAATTGGGGGTGTTGGGCGAAGGGGATAGCGCGGGTGTGACTGTGAAGAGGAAGGCGACGGTGGATTATGCTTGTGCATTATATGATACGGTTACGTATTTTTCAGGTTTGATGTGGTAGGGGATGGGCTGGAATCAGTGTTCTGAGAATAGGGACTACTGTCCGGTATTCAGCATCACTTTGAATGGAGCAACGACTATCTTCCAATACCTTTTACGTTCTTTCTACACGAAGATCTTGGGATTGTCATAGCGTGCTCGCGATGAGTGATGTCACCAGAGTTATCACTACAATAGTAACAATAACTCATGAAACTCTGCTTTCACAATGTCAAGCACCCAGGAAAATTCTGCGTATCATTCACTGTCGCTGCCCTATATAGCTTAGCGCAAATGCCTTTCCCATAGGTATATATACGCTACTTCTCGCCCTCTCCTCGAACTCCACGAATATACACATAACAAATATAGATATGACTGCTCGCACTTAAGAAGTAGTATCACATGTATATGCTCAAGATATACAATAAATTGCTCGCGCTTAGCTTGTAGTCGCCTTGTATATATACTTCGGTATATACATACACACAATGCGCAACTTCTATAAGCTCTCCAGTCATGGAAAGATTCAAAATGCCCACATTAAGTTGTTACTCTGTTTTTCATATGGCTGTAGCTGACGTGTGTACCCAGAACCATCGGAACCATGGCGCCAACCCCTAAGCCCCCACCAACGGGGCTATCGTGACCATCCCCAAACGATGGGGACATCGCGAATATATCCAACAACGACGAGCAACGAGGCCCACGTTGAGCAACACCAGAAATGGGGACATCACGAATACGCCAAACAACAGGCACAGCAACAGTAACAGCAAGAGGCGGAGTGCAAAGTTTGCCCACCAGCAACTGACAGCCAAGTCAGGGGAGACATCCCGTCTCCGCTATTCCCGCGCATCAGTAACACCGCCAACATCTTCGCCGCACGTGTTATCGACACGTGCGGTGTGACCATAGGACTGGTTGTGGCGGGGGGCACATATTCTCTTCACTTGCAGTGAGCAGCAAGTCACCTGTCCCCGCCTCACCTCATCCGTATTCACCGGAAAATACAATAGGTTCATTGGGAGGAGAGGACCATTGGGTTGTGTTTAGGATATTTCATCAAGTTTGGCCTGGGTCATGGAGAGTATTTGTGGAACGTGTATTTATAGATTCTGGGACTAGTCTTCAGAGTTGAGGATAATCATAGTCTTGTATGGATCGATACACGAATGTATTTAAGTTGATGACTCGAGCGGAGTCACTGACTCTGGTGCATTCGTGTATCAGCTTACCTTTTCTCAACTTTGGTGGTAGTTTCAGTATTATTCTTATATTTATAACTGGTTTATACATCATCTCAACACGACTGTCATTGTCATTGCAGTGACAGCCGAGATGTGCCATGAGTTCATTCTGTATCATGTTTTGTGAAATGTGATTGAAATATGTGATTTACAATGTGCATTGCTTTTGGGCAGGTCATTGCGCACGAGTCGAGTTGACACAAGCGTGCTGTAAAGTGCAAAACCACAGAAATCCGGGGTATCGATAAGGCGCGGGGTATGATCCGAGCGTCATGACTGACGAGGCGTCTTGCATTTGTGTAGGATGGTTTGACATGTTGCTGGGAGTGAAGAGAGATGTGTAGATGGCAGCAGTGCTAGACACGCACATGTAACAAAGGGCTAAGACAGTAGCTGGAATCTAGAGTCTAAAAGAAGTCATATGCAGGGGCTATTCCCATGCAGACTCAATTGCCGGGCTGGCATGTCGATCCTACAACGTACAGTTGCACTGGCAATGCGGTGGCGAAAATATCAAGACTACGTGAAGACTCTGGCAAGCACGACGAGCACTCTTTATTTCGTGTGGGACCCAAGGAAGGATTGGCAAGGCATCTGCTTGGTAATACGGTTAAAGGATGTGGCGAATTTTGGGTTTGAAGACGACAGCGTGGTTTCAATTTGGAGGTATCGGTGAGGTAGTCTGGAGCGTCCGCGGTTGGCCGTAGCGCAATAACTTGGCAGGGCTGGACGAACAGTAACCGGCAAGCCTACCGTATCAGAAAGGGACAGCCGGTCGACTGGGTCCAGAAGAAGAGGTAGTCCCGCTATCCACGGCAGTACTGGACACAAGCAAAGAGAGTTGAGATGAAAGATCCCGAGGGTACACTACTCTACATAGGCAGCAGTGTAGGGCGAGATGTTGAAATGTGTACTTTCTGGAGGCTGGAGCGGTGCGTGGTTTAGTGCGAGTCCCTGATCTTCGGTGCTGCAGGCCTGGCGGCTCTCAACCGCTCGAAGCCACGTCCCTCAGCAGGGCTTGTCCTGAGAAGGCGGTCAGCATGCCTGTACCAGACTTCGCCACAAATAGATGATGGCCTTTTGCAACGTGGGCTGCTGCAGGACACGGAGCGGCGGCAAGCCCTTTCTGCCCCGCCATCACCAGCAGAAAGAGAGGGGCGGAAGGCTGTCAGTGGCAAAGAACTGGAGAAATTCCGGCGAGAGTGAAAAAAAACTCTGTATTTGCTTGTTTCCAGGATTTTCCGATGAAATCATGGGGGGGGCATCTGGACGAACGAGGGCAAAGGCGAATGCAAAGGTGTCGGGTTGCTGTGTGCAGGGGTCCGGACACGCTAATCTTATCGGCTTACGCCCTGGCCAAAAATTTCTCAAAGCGAGACAGCCCACCAACAGATAAAAAGCCCCTCCACAGGCATACTTTTTACGCCCTCTCTCCACTCACTCTCCCTCTGGGCTGACCCAAAGTACTTTCTCTTCTTTGTGTCGCTGTGTCAGGATCGCATAGAGGTTGCGAGCCGATTTTCTCGCGGCTGTGTTTGATACCCAACGGATAGATTCACTCTATCTTTTCCGCGCCAAAAGTTTTTTTGGGCCCCGCCGCCTAAGTCCATATAAGGACCACCCGCCCCTCGTCTCTCACTTCTCCTACACACACCTCCACCCTCCATCACAATGGCGCCTGCTGCTTCGCACAATGCCAAGGACGTCAAGTCCGAGAACTCCAAGGCGTTCAAGGCGCTCGAGGAGATGATGCAGAAGTTGACCGTCTCCAAGGCCCAGGACGAGATCAACGCCTCTGCCCAGGCCATTGCCACCTTCATCAACGGTGACATTGAGGAGGCTGACGCTCCCACCCAGTACGTCGACACCATCTGGTTTGCCCCTGACTTTCAGTACCACTGTTGCTAACAAACTTTCCAGCGCTGTCTCGGTGCTCAAGAAGCAACTTGCCAGCAAGAAGGATGCTGTCGCCCGTGAGCGTGCCCTTGACGCCATCCGTGCTATCGCCCAGCACGCCCACGTCTCCGCCGCCGTCGAGCCCTACCTCGTTTCCCTCCTTCCCGACGTGCTGGCCGCTGTCGGTGACAAGATCACTGCTGTCAAGGTTGCCGCCCAGACTGCCGCCGAGGCCATCGTCTCTGCCGCCAACCCCAACGCCGTCAAGGCCATCATCCCTCACATCATCAAGTCGCTCGAGACCGCACAAAAATGGCCCGAGAAGATGTGCGACCTCAAGTGCATTGAGGCCCTCACCAAGAGCGCTCCTGCACAGATGGCCTTCCGTGTCCCTGACCTGATTCCTGTCATCTCTGGAGCCATGTGGGACACCAAGCCTGAAGTCAAGAAGGCTGCCTACGTCACCATGGAGACTCTCTGCTCCTTGATCTCCAACAAGGATATCGAGCGCTTCATTCCCGAGCTCATCAAGTGTATCGCTAAGCCTGAGAACGTCCCCGAGACCGTTCACTTGCTCGGTGCCACCACTTTCGTCACTGACGTCCACGAGCCTACTCTTGCCATCATGGTTCCCCTTCTCGAGCGTGGTCTCGTTGAGCGTGAGACTGCCATCAAGCGAAAGTCTGCCGTCATCATCGACAACATGTGCAAGCTTGTCGAGGACCCTCAGATTGTTGCCGCTTTCCTGCCCCGTCTCATGCCCGCGCTTGAGAAGAACTACGACAACTTGGCTGACCCTGAGGCCCGTGAGAAGACCCGCCAGGGTCTCGACACCCTCATCCGTGTCGGTGCTGTCCAAAACGGCAAGATCCCCGAGCTCGAGAAGTCTGGTGACATTGCCACCATCGCCGGCCACCTCAAGGCTGTCCTTCCTTCTTCAGCCAAGGTTGACGAGCGCTTCGAGCCTGTCGTCAACTACATTGGTGCCATTGGTGGCCAACTGATCGACGAGAAGGACTACGAGCCTCTCAACTGGCAGGCAAACGCCGGTCCCTTCGTTGCCGTCCTTGTCGGTGACGAGGCCTCCAAGGACGTCACTGAGAACCTCCGCAAGAGGTCTCTCCCTGGTGCCGCCGCTGAGGAGGCCACCGAGCCCGATGAGGAGGAGGGCGAGGACCTCTGCAACTGCACATTCAACTTGGCCTACGGTGCTAAGATTCTGCTTAACCAGACTCACCTTCGTCTGAAGCGTGGTCAGCGTTACGGTCTTCTCGGACCCAACGGTTCCGGAAAGACCACTCTCATGCGTGCCATCAACAACGAGCAGGTCGAGGGTTTCCCCAAGCAGAACGAGGTCAAGACTGTCTACGTCGAGCACGACTTGGACTCTGCTGACACTGAGATGACTGTCATTGGCTGGACCATGAACAAGCTTAAGTCTGTCGGTATCGATAAGCCCGAGGAGGAGGTCACCAAGACCCTCAACGAGTTCGGCTTCACCGACGGCATGTACAACGGACCCATTGGTGCCCTCTCTGGTGGATGGAAGATGAAGCTCGCTCTCGCTCGTGCCGTCTTCGAGGAGCCCGATATCCTTCTGCTTGACGAGCCCACCAACCACTTGGACGTCAAGAACGTCAAGTGGCTCGAGGACTACCTCACCAGCTCCCCTTGCACATCCATTGTCATCTCCCACGACAGCAAGTTCTTGAACAATGTCATCCAGCACGTCATCCACTACGAGCGCTTCAAGCTCAAGCGTTACAAGGGTAACCTCGACGACTTCGTCAAGCGTGTGCCCTCTGCCAAGTCCTACCACGAGCTGTCCGCTTCCGACATGGAGTTCAAGTTCCCCGAGCCCGGTTTCCTTGAGGGTGTCAAGACCAAGGCCAAGGCTATCCTCCGTGCTACCAACATGAGCTTCCAGTACGAGGGTACCTCCAAGCCCCAGATTGAGGACATTACCTTCCAGTGCTCTCTCGGATCCCGTATTGCTGTCATTGGTCCCAACGGTGCCGGAAAGTCCACCCTTGTCAACGTCTTGACCGGTGAGCTTGTCCCAACCAAGGGTGAGATCTACCACCACGAGAACATCCGTATTGCCTACATCAAGCAGCACGCTTTCGCCCACATTGACCATCACCTCGACAAGACTCCTTCCGAGTACATTCAATGGCGTTTCCAGACTGGTGAGGACCGTGAGACCATGGACCGCGCCAACAAGATCGTCACCGAGGAGGATGAGAAGGCCATGGACAAGATCTACAAGATCGATGGTACCGAGCGCCGTGTCATTGGTATCCACTCCCGCAGAAAGTTCAAGAACTCTTACGAGTACGAGTGTTCGTTCGCTCTCGGTGAGAACATCGGCATGAAGAACGAGCGCTGGACACCCATGATGACTGCCGACAACGCCTGGATTCCCCGTAGCGAGATCATGGCTTCCCACGCCAAGATGGTTGCCGAGGTTGACCAGAAGGAGGCTCTCGCCAGCGGTCAGTTCCGTCCTCTGGTCCGTAAGGAGATTGAGGCTCACTGCGCCAACTTCGGTCTCGACGCTGAGCTTGTTTCTCACTCCCGTATGCGCGGTCTGTCTGGTGGTCAGCGTGTCAAGGTCGTCCTCGCTGCCTGCTCATGGCAACGCCCCCACTTGATCGTCCTCGACGAGCCTACTAACTACCTCGACCGTGACTCCCTTGGTGCCCTGTCCAAGGCCATCAAGACCTTCGAGGGTGGTGTCATCATCATCACTCACTCCGCCGAGTTCACCGCCGACCTTACCGAGGAAGTCTGGGCTGTCATGGACGGACGCATGACCCCCTCCGGTCACAACTGGGTTCAAGGACAAGGTGCCGGACCTCGTCTGGCCAAGGATGAGGACCCAGATCAAGTCTCGTTCGACGCTATGGGTATGTTTGACGTTTTAAGTGTTAAAAAAGTGATTTACTGACGTTTTAATAGGTAACAAGATCGAGACTGCCAAGAAGAAGGTCAAGCTCAGCTCCAGCGAAATGCGCAAGAAGAAGAAGGAGAGGATGGCCCGCCGCAAGCGTGGTGAGGAGGTCTTCTCTGACGAGGACGACTAGATCATGCCACCGGTATAAAAGTCGTTTTTCTTTAGTTTGGTTCATGTGGTTCATGGTGCATGTCGGCTCAGTTGGTCGGCCTTTTCATGATGATAATGCGGTACTAGTCTACGGATTATGGTTCATGCTCGGCGTCTGGTTATCAAAATGTTCACGAATGCATCTTGCGGGTACCTCACTCGTAGAAGATAGAAATAGATTCCCATCACTTCAATCAGTTCACCAATACCTTGAAGCTGCGTCACCATGAGTTTGTGTACATGTACGATGTTCATCATTGTAGCGAAGGTGGGTTGTTATAACATGGTCTTACTATGGGGTTCGGCTTCTTTACTATGCGTATGGGTCACTTGCTGCTTAGACATTCACTCCTTGCTTTTAAGTTATTAAGTTCTTGTGTCATACCCACCTGTAATAATCCAAAACCAAGAGACGTGGGCAAAATCTTGGCCTATACGCAATAAAAAGTAGGTTAGAATACGATCAAAGACGAAATTTAAGTAAATTTAAATGTTTTTAAATTCTAAACAATGTATGTATTTCTTCCTTTTTGCAGTGAATTCACTTACGGTACCTTGGAATACCGCCGTAGCTTGCAAGGCTAACATGTCTACCTCTCGAGGACCCCGTATTTCACAGCATTTCCAAGACGGAAGATATGACTAAATCTTTTCCAATAATAATTATATGTATATGAAAGAAGAGCATAGTATCGTAACACTTAATCTCCTCGTTCAATGCTCACGATACAATTTGAGAGTGAGGATCATGTGCTGGTTTTGTGGAGCGGATGGTTTTGGGGGTTAGAGACATCGGGCTGGGATGATGATGAAGGATTGAGAGGTTTGGTGTGGAGGCGGATTTGTGTCGGTTATTGAGATGGGATGGTATTGGAAGGTCTTGCCTGGGGGTTTGGAGGATTTTGGAAATTGGGTGCTGGGGGTTGGGCTGAGCGGGTTGGTTGGTACTGCGCGTCTCCCAGTAGACCAGGGTACTGTATATCATGAGGTACTTTTGCTGAAAACGCATAAGATCACAATCCAAAGTGACCCCGAATACACGCGTCCTGAGGCTTCAAATGCCGTTATCCTCATAAGATTTATACAAATCAATGTAATTTTAGCTGTATGATCCTCCATGTGTCAGGTTATCGCGCGCTTAGATGTGCAGCGTTTCTGATCGACGATTTTGCCGCTGGGCGGGCCTGCAACATGGTCTCCTTAGGCGCTTAGATTTGGTATCGCTATACTACAGCAGTATGTCTAATCCACCAAACACTATAACTGCCTTGAGAAATCAGTATACGACTTCGATTCTCGTTATCAATTTATTTTCCATTTTTTCTGCCAACAATTCGAAATGTTTACCAGAACGACACCGAGGAGGGACCATGACCAAGACACCACAGCTGGTGCCAGCGAACACCAGACCCTAACTTCGCGAAACTTAGTACCATGGTCTGATATGAAAGTGACGGAGACCATAAATGGACTTTCACCAGAAGTATATATGACGATGATGATTCTTCAAGATGTTGAGCTGACGCTTGACCACCAGGCCGAGCAACAACGCCGAATAAGGCGCCTACAAGAAATTTCTCATCGAGAAAAGCTTGCTGTGAACTCACCAAAGTTCAACCTCAGCAAGCCACTCTGCAAAAACTGTCAAAGCGTACCTTGGGATCAGCTCGCCAGCTCGCAGCTTCCGGGTCCAGCTGGAGTCCGCGTACTGTTCGAAATCCACGAGACTCGTGAAACACTCGCAAGATCCTCATGCGTTGTGTGCAAGTACATTAGTTCCATTTGGCCAGATGGCGTGAAACTAGAGCGATGTTTTCTAGGAGTCAGGTGCCTGTGCAACATGCTTCCTGGTCAAGCGACCAGTAGCCACCATTCTCCTGGCTACGATCATAGCCCACAATTTCAGCTATCTGGATACGTCCAAAAGACACAAGTTTGGTGTTCTGAGAACTTTGGTGTCCTGCATCCATGGTCGAGTCATGATGAGTTAGCACCTCGCCATGTCGATGTTGATCGTATCAACATCCAGTTGGTCCGAGAATGGCTCCAGATATGCAAAACATCACACAAGCACGATCTAGCAGGGCCAAGAGGGAAAGAGTGTGTTCCAGGGTTCAAGGTGATTGATTGTCGCACGAAGCGAATCATTCCAGTGCGGCACGATGTCTGTCAATACGTTGCGTTATCATATGTTTGGGGCGCACCTGGTTCCGAGGAGCACAATGCAGGACAATACCCAAAGACCATTGAGGATTCAATAACAGTTTGCAATATGCTAGGCTTTGAATACCTTTGGGTTGACCGATACGTAAGACCATCCAACATTTCCAACATTCTGAACAAGACAATAACATCAATAGTGTATCAACCAAAAGGATGAAGCCGAAAAGGGTGTACAGATCAACATGATGGATTGTATCTATTCGCAAGCACAATTGACGATAGTCGCCACAGATCCAAATCCATCGAAAGGCCTTCCTGGTGTCGGATCAAGAGCTCGCAACAAGCAGCAAAGTCTTCAATTAGGCAACATTGAGTTGATCAAAACTTACCACACCGACGAGGCGATTTTGCGATCGACATGGGCCACTCGCGGCTGGACATTCCAAGAAGGATATCTATCGAGAAGAAAATTGATATTCACAGAAAACGAGGCCGTTTACATATGCGATGACATGTACTGTCAAGAATCAATCCGCAAAGATATCTCAACCAGGCCAACCGGGCAACGCCATGGGCTTGCCGGCGCGGCGATGGATGGCATCTGTCCAATGTCGACAAATGAACGAAAAGGACGCGTTAAGCTAGACGATCTTTTGAACGAGTACAACAGCAGAGATCTGTCGTACCAGTCTGATGCTCTAAATGCATGCCAAGGAATCTTGAGAGGTCTTTCTGTACCGCACAACTGGGGTCTTCCCATTATCCCAACATCCTGGTGGGAGGCAGGTCGCCGACCACCAACATCGCACGGCATGAACCTATACTGGCAATCCGACGAACCTGGTAAGCGACGCCCAGACTTTCCAAGCTGGTCCTGGGTCGGCTGGCAAGGCCAAAAGATATTCCACAATTACGACCATTACTACACTGACGCCAGCGTCATCGAAGCCAAGTCGACAGCGGGGAAATGGTTGAGTTTGGAGCAGTGTTTCAACCCAAGAGATGGCTCATTACAGACTCCTATATCGAAACGTATACGCATCACGGGTTTGACAGTACAACTAGCACCATACATTGTCAATCAGGCCTGGATCAAAAACCGAATGCCCGGATACCAACCATCACATAAAGGACCTCACGCTGTTTTCCCATACTCTGCCAATATCGACATCGTCGCAACAGTGCATCTCGACGACAAAGATGCCAGTGCCGATATTCTCAAAGACACTATAGCAGTGCTTATCAATAGACATCAGAAAAGGAGATATCGTGGTATAATGCTGGTGCTGAAGCCAGACGGTGACCATTACAAAAGAGTGGGGATTTTGAACTTTCGCAATATTGGCGTGCACAAGGATCGAAGGGATTTCACGGAGTCCAAGAGTCTTATCAAGGGGGAGAATGGGTGTTTTTGGATGAAGGATTTCAAGCAAAAGGGTGTTGAAGTGGAGTAAGTCGATAGATGCTGGATGTAAGAAGAGATTGGATCCGGGATGTTTGTATAACTAGCTTGGCGTTTCCAATATTATCTATCGAGAGCGCATTTTTAATAACAGTATGATAAATACTGGTCATCTTCAGCTTCTATGAAGAACAAAAAGTCAGCAGTGACGTACTAATGAAAGGGTAATGTCAGCTGTGCGGAAGAGCGGAAAGGTGCTAACCGCACGTGGTCAGTGCTCGGCCCGTCAGTGTGTGCCTTAGTTCATTTACGGACATGTCCGACTCCGCATCACAATCCTTTACAGCTCAGCCACGATCAATCCATGGTCAGATCGTTGGGTAGGAATGATTTCCGAATCATGTGCCGCCTCAGGCAGCGCCGGCCAAGGGCGTTTCGCATTTGAAGCGCGCGTGTGATGGCTCAATCACACGGGTCCCACCTTCACATTCTGCCCCTCCCCCACTCTGAGCACATAACGACCGTCTTCTGCGCGCATTTTACGTAGAGTGATACTTCTTCCACCTTTCGCGCTCTTGATTCGCATCACAAAACGCGACATGGCAAGCCAGGACTACTACGGGCAGAGTCAAGGCCAAGGCCAACAAGGCTATGGCCAAAACTATGAAGGCACCAGCCAGCGACAATGGGGTTCGGCAGACCACAACCAAGGCTACCCTCCTCAGCCTCAGGGCTATGGACAACCGCAGCACGATCAATATGGCCAAGCCAACCACAGTCCCTATCCGCCAGCGCAGGTTAGCAAACTCACGCGGCTCGGCGCATGTTGTCGCATCCACGTTTACTCACTGACCATGGAATAGAGCCCTTACTCGCCCCCTTCCTATGATTCCTATGGGCAGTCCCAGAATAGCTACGGTGCCCCTCCTCAGCCTGTAGACCAATACCAGCACGGCTACGACCCGAACCGTAGCACCTCTCCTTACCCGCCCACGGCGCATCATCAGCAAGGCTACCAAGACCCAAGCCAGCAGTACGGAGCGCCTCAGCAACAGGGACATCATGACCTCCAGCAAGGCTACGGTGCGCCACAATACGGCCAACCCGGTGCTCCAGGTGACGGCGCTGAAGGAGATCGTGGCCTTGGTTCCGCTCTGATCGGAGGTGCAGGTGGTGCTTTTGTTGGAAACAAGCTGGGTGGTGGAACGCTTGGAACCCTAGGAGGCGCAATCCTGGGTGCTGTCGCAGCCAACATGGTGCCTGATAAGTAAGCCAAATCAATCATTGCGAAATTCTTGTTAAATTTATGCTAATTCTTGTAAAGGAAAGAAAAGAAGAAGCACAAGAAGAAGCATAGGCATAGTAGTAGCCACGGTTCCCATCGCTCGCATGATGGGTCGGACGATGGGTCTCATCATGGATCACACCACGGATCTTCCCATCACCATTCGCATCACGGGTCTTCACACCATTCTCATCGTAGCTCATCGGGTCATAGGCACAGGCGTAGGCACCATAGAAGCCACAGCAGAGGGGGCAAGAGTAGTTCTAGTTCGAGCAGCAGCGATTCGGACTAGATTGAGCATGTTTAGGGCTGTTCTCTCAGGTCTACGCGGCATCATTTCCCCTTGACACCAATGATTTTGCGTTCTGATTGGTGATTATTGGGTTACTCGGCGACCATCATGTAGCCGTTGCGGCAAGAATGTGTACCAGCTGTGTTTTCCTCACATTGAATTAGTTATTCTTCATTACTTGCAAATAAAGAATGTTCTGAAACGCCATTAGATTTCCCTATTGAGGAGCTGTACAACGATCATCTCTAACACCTGATACCCAAGTCCTTTAGTATGAATAAGCTTTTTAATCGATTTACAAAAGATGAGATGGGCGTCCATGCTTGTCCATAGACTTCGACAGTGGGTCCGTCTGAACCCTGACTTTAGCCAAAACAGGCTAAGCGTATTGCAGCCCTTTTTCTCCACCGAGTTACTCATCGCCGCCGCAAATTCCAAAATAGCCCCGCAACCGCCCTTGTGAAGGTGCAGATTTAGTCTGCCTGGTTATTTTTTTTCCAGTATCGCAAAAATATCTAGGCGACTTTCCAAATCAACCCGCAGCATCACAATCATGGCTGACGTATTTTTGAGTTTCTTCCGGAGTTCCTTGCCCGATGAACTTGTGGCGGTAATCGAGAATACCATCAAGGCGACCGAATCAGGGGACTTTCAGTCTGTGCTTCAATCACCGGAAGCGCAGATATTACTAGGCCACCAGGACGACGAAACTACCAAAAATGTCAAGAGGAGCGATTTTGGACTGTGGAGCGACTACATTTTCCATCGCCTGGGGTTAATAGTGTCAAAGCGAAAGGAAGAAGAGTCAACTCCAGTAAACGAAACTGCGCTTTATAGACAGCACGTCTACTTCTTGATTGCAGTCGCAGCGTTGCATGCGTTCCTACAATCGAATGTTACGGGACCACCACTACCTTTCAAATCGGCTGAAGTGCTGCTACCGAAGGATATCGCAGGTGACGCCAAAGCCCTGGCTAAAACGCGCGGAGAACTTGTCACATCGTTGAATGCCGACGGTGTTGCAGCGTATAGACTTACTCCCAATATTGAACTGCTTTGCTTAGCGGACACTATTCTCATCAGCCCTCCTATCCAAAAGAACATTCCAGTCTCAATATGGGCCAGGCTAAGGACCAACTTCATCCATCAAAGACTGCTCAGTGAGGCCGCACCAAGCCTGCAAGATGCAATCTACGACAATCTCAAGGGTGTAGAAGACTTGATCCAGAACTCAGGGAAGGTCAACGAAATCAAGGATTTGCACACCACATTTTTACTTGAGCGTGCGGCTATCCATACACACCACGGTCTCGATAAGAAGGCCCGAGCGGACCTCGACCAAGCAGCCTCTGAGCGCAAGTTTGAATTTGCGCTGACCGGTTTGATGGGCAAGAGAACAAAATTCCAGCAAAAAGATACTAGTCAACTGATTGTACTTGCTCGGAGCGCGGGATCAGAAGCCAGTGGTACATCGGAAGAAACTTCGAAGCCCAAGAAACTGGATCTGAACGACGATACGCTGCTCGAGTCCATATCTTTCACTAACGACGCTGTTTCCACCGAGATCAAAGACAAATCAGAAATCCCCGCATCTCTTCAGTCCATAGACCCGTCAAACCAACCACTTCTTGATCCCCTCGACTCAGTCATCATGCTCTCGCTGGCCGAGAGTATCAAGAACACCAATCCCGCGGATGGCCTTACACGCGAGCAAACAGAACCGTACGCAACACGAGTGCTTGAAGGCGGAAGTTCCAACTGGCAGGTTTACACTCAGGCTCTTCTTGTGCGTAGTCGTATCGAGGGGTATAAGCCGCGTACTATGGAGCGAGGCTTGCTACAACTTCAAGCACTTGTCGATCAAGTCATTGTGGAGACTTCGGGCGATTCTACCACAGATGCTGAGACGGGTCAGAAGGTCACTTCTTTCCTGCCGCAAGCAAAGCAGGAAGAGTCGGCGTCTGTTGAAGAGCGGCTACGCTATATCTTCCCGCTCTGCTCGCCGTCACGATGGGAACTCGAGTCCGAACTTGCAGCTCGCTGGGTTGCACTAGGTGGTCTACGATCTGCACTTGAAATCTACGAGAGACTGGAACTATGGGCTGAAGCAGCATTGTGCTATGCCGCTACTGAGAAGGAAGACCGAGCACGCAAGATTATCCGAAGACAACTTTTCCACGCCACCAACGGCGACGACGAGAATGTGGATATGGATGCAGAGAAGTGGGAAGGAGCAGAACGCAATCCTCCACCAGCCGAAGCACCACGCTACTACTGTATCCTAGGCGACATCGACAAAGACCTCTCCCTCTACGAAAAAGCCTGGGAAGTATCCGGAAAACGCTATGCTCGCGCCCAACGCTCCCTCGGCCAACGCTACATCGCAGCCCGCGACTACGAAAAAGCAGCAGAAGCCTATTCGCTCTCCTTGAAAATCAACGCCCTCCACCACCCGGCCTGGTTCGCCCTCGGCTGCGCCCGCCTCGAGCTCCACGAATTCAAAAACGCAGTCGAAGCCTTTTCGCGCTGCGTCCAGCTCGACGACCAAGACGCGGAAGCATGGAGTAACCTTGCAGCTTCATTGCTACACCTACGCCCCAAGGTCACCGAGAGTGAAAACGGCGAAGTATCAGAAAAGCAAGTGACGAACCACCCGCGCACCGATGCACTCAAAGCTTTCAAGCGCGCAGCGACAATCAAACACGACGACTACCGCATCTGGAACAACGTGCTCGCCGTGGCTACATCGACGAGTCCGCCCTCGTGGCAAGACGCCATCACAGCCCAACGCCGCATCTGCGAGCTACGGGGCCAGACGGACGGCGAAAAATGCGTAGACGCCGAGATCCTCAACATGCTCGTCAAACACGTCGTTTCTTCCGAAGAAGGCTTCGATACCTCGCGCCCCGGTCTCGCACGTATGGCGAACGATCTCATTGAAAAACACGTCAAGCCGCTCATCACGGTATCCCCGCAACTCTGGATCATTCTCGCAACTCTGTACACGCATACCCAACGTCCCGCGTCGGCGCTCGAGTGCCACGAAAAGGCGTGGCGGGCCGTGACGTCGCAGCCGCGATGGGAGTCTAGCACTGAAGCAGAATGGAATGCCGTCGTGGATATGACGGTGGATCTGGTGGATGCGTACGAGACGCTTGGGCCGCGGGAGCGGACAGAGGGCTTGAGTGCGGGGAGTGGAGAGGTGGTGGCGAAGGATTGGAAATTCAAGAGTCGCAGTGCGGTGAGGAGTGTTATGGGTAAGGGTAAGGAGAATTGGGAGGATACGGCTGGGTGGGAGAAGTTGGTGGAGAGGTTGGAGGAGTTGAAGACGAGGGAGTAGGATGTTGTACTATATGGGAGGTTAAGGGGCAAATGTTAAAAGTTAGTAGAGGGTTACAGTATTCACCAATTTCGTTCTTTTTTTGGGCAAAGAAGCTTGATGTGTGAGAATGCTTGTGTGTGTGCAAAGAGGTCTTGGTCAGTTGCCAATATTTGACCTATACGGAAAGTTTATCAGATCAATTCTTTGTTTTCATACGAGCACTCGTGGTGTAGCTCTCTGTACCAAGACATCCTGATGAATCACCGGGATATACTTGATCGTTCACTGGTGTCCAAGTTACGGGTGTGAACAGCAGGAACATTCGAGGGATTCGAACCAATCACTGCCTGCAGGTTGGCTTGCTGCAAGAGCCCCGCGATGGTAGTCAGCGCACATGCAATCATTCAAAACTGAACAAAAAACCTCGGTTTGACCAAGTCGACCAGTACTCCTTCAACTTCTCGTGAGAATATGCACCATTTTCTTACTTGATCTGGCAAACCTATCACAATATCGTGTATGCCGAGGTCCTAGACTGTCGCTATCTCTTCCTCGCGGCGTCAAGATGTCCCTCTCTTGTTGGTTGCGATTCAGAACGCCCACAGATGTGCATACATGTACATAGCCAAGAGAATGATCCCAACGGGCCTTGTCGTTTGAGTTTGGCCGGGTATGTGAGTGTCTGGCCCTTGTTGGCGAGAGTCGGTGTAACGAGACGCAGGAAAAACCCGAGGACCAGGTTCACGAGGGAATCTAGCTGCAAGTCGATCTCGCCATAGAATTTCCGTGATATCGGACGAGTCGAGGAGTGCAAACAGCCGGCGCTAGTTAACATAACAGACGCAAGCCTTGAAACAATGGCATGTTTTTTTTAAATCGTGTTCAGAGCCGAGACGTTGAAAATGAATGAATGAAAGGTTATTCGATCCGTGGTATGGAGAATGTTCTCTCATTCCTTAGTTGTTGCGAGGCATGTTCAGCAATCAAACTCGACCGATCAATGAAAGAAGTTAGCCAAAGCCGATGCTCATCTGTTAGCAGTAGTCCAATCACAATACTGGCCCGTACAAGAAGTAGAGCCAAGACGCTTGCATGATAATCCTGTGATGGAGAACGAAAGCGGTCGAAGTTCCGCATGGCGTAGTAGGCGTGACGATGAAAATCTTTGTGCTCAATCTGTAATACTAAGCCAGCAACCTATGGCTCAAGAGTTGCTGGGACACAAGGGGGTTGGCAAGATTGCACAAAGTGCGTTTGTGTTTGCCGGGATATGGCCAAGCTCTCATTCATCCAACAGACTGGTAGGCCTTAATGGACAAGTGGAGACGGCAATATGCAGCGGTCGAGTCAGTGGGGGCGGTCATGGTGCAATGGGCCCATGATTATATAACAGATGAGTGCAGCACATCCCCAGTATGTACTACCAACAGCAGGAAGTGTGTTTCAGATGCGAGGAGTAAGGGCCCGGTATCGTGGCAAACGGCCTCGTGGGAACAACCCTGTTGTTGGTGACGAGCTGTTCAAGCCATGTTACGTTTGCTCATACTGGGAAGGATTAGAGGGGTAATATGGGATGATCAGATAGCAGTGCACAGAGGAGGCGCTTGGAGGAGACGTGGTGCTGGCGTTAGTAGACCAGAAAGGCAGCGATGCTATCGTCAGATTGCCTAGACGTACATACATCTCTCGGTGGGTTAGCTGCAACGAGGGCACATGGCAAGGCCCTGGTCGTGTCCGAGCGCATGCAGTTGGGCACTTTGACATGCATTGTAGCAACAGGCGAGAAACAGGGAAACAGCGTCATTGCCCGGAAGTGCGTAGTTGGTCGAGGGTAGCAAGTACCATGGTGGAAGCGCTGGAGGCTAATGCCCTGCATTTGGGTCATGGGCGGCTTACACACAGCCCCCGAAAGGCCGCTAGGGATCGGGCTGGGTCGAAAGCAGTGGGTAATGCGGCATCAGCTTTCTAAGAATACATAGAAGCCAGGCTGACCATTTTCTAGTTGGAGGGCCCTGACTGGGGCCATGGGCGCAGAAGAGGGCATGAGTGTGGTCACGGAGCAGCAGCGCAATCAGGGTGCAGACGAGGGCGTCATTTGATAGGA